TATGTTTAGCGAACGAGCCGGGATAGACACATTAGCAGGATCGACCGAAGTGATGCTGCGACGGCGTGCAGCAAATCTCAGAAAGGAGCAAGCCCAAGCCCCACAGCCACATGCAGGCTTGCCAGTGTTGTTTACCCTCATTGTGCTGGTCCATGCTCCTCCTGGCTGTTTTCATGTGCTCCTCGACCATTCAGTCAGTCAAGCTGGTGGCCCCTAGACGGAAGTGCATGATGATGTGTTTGCCATGCTTTCTTTCCAGACTGAGGTATGGGCGCTTTGATTTTGGGCAACTTACTGCAGGATTTCATCAAAGACGAAACCAGATTGCTGGAGGATCGCCTGTGGGTCTGGAATCGCTATGGCACCACCTACCGCGCTTTTTATACCCTTTATGAAATAACATTTGCGGGGTGCCTGGGCAGCCCGGTTTACACAATTTGTTCGATTTTATCTCAATCTAAGTCTGTTCTTGTGTACATGACATATCCCTCAACTGAGGAACTGGCCTACGAACGTAAGGCCGATCCTCGAGAAGGTGAGTCATGCCTATGTGATATTCTACTTCCTGTACGTCACAATTATTGTTTTCGCTGTGATCCGCGTGATATCTGCCATCTTTCTCAAGGACACCTTGGACGAGGCAGAATTGATCTAGAAGGAAAATCGCTCATGAGTTCGTCAAGTTGCACGAGCCAGATGGAGTGCAGCCACAGGAAGTTCCCATAAACGGGAAACAATTATCATTACTAGCATGCCCTGCTTGATATTTCAGACACGTCTCACTCATGAATCCATGCGGAGTCGAAAGCATTTACTGTGAGGAACGAGTCAGCGGTTGAATTTCCGAGCAGGTGGCAACACTAACACTTGTTACTTGTTGGTTCTTGTGGAGCTTTTCCTGCCAGCACCTGTCAGCCTGGCAAGGCGAACAATGATGCACAGCATTTGGTGCTGGATAGGCTTCGAAAACGAGCAGCATACGTGGAGAGGCGTGCATCCCAAGGACAGTTTGCTTGGCTCTTGAGAACTCGATGCTAGCACAATTTATCGATAGCATCTGCTACCCTGTGACTGTCATCAAATGGATCCCGCCATTCCTGCAACGGAGGGATGCACGCATGCGTTGTGGAGGCTGGAAGGTCTATTCAACGCCATCATTGATGATGAAGGCCGAGAAGCAGGTGCCCTGCTTGCCTGGCACCCCAAGTGCAAAACAACGAACGACAGCTAGTGTTGTTTGTGGGCATGCGAACCAAACGTTGAGCGATCAATACAATCTACATGCCGGCTTAAGGTCTGCCTTCTCAGCTGTGCGTGCGTATCGTGTTTTCAGCCGTTCCACCAGACTTAGCACCCTCAGCCTAAACTCTTAAGCCCTCCTTCAACTCCTTGGGCAGCGAAGCCAACCCAGTCCAGCCAGATGGGAACGTTTACCGTCTTATGTACCAATTGCTTCAAAAGAAGAAACTTCTTCAGGCATCCTCACGGAGAAGCGGCTTGCAGAGATTCTCGCGAACCCGACACTTGCCCGCCAGCCTACAAGTCACAAGCTGGTGTTGGTGTTCCGGAGCACGGGTTGGAGCAGGGTCATGTGTCGTGTTGCCGCAGTGTCTCCTGGTAGCATTTCGGACGCGGGTGACCGGACCGCGAAGTCTCTGCTTGCGTTGCTTAAATCGGAAGCAGAACTCAGCCTCAACTACAAGCGCGGGTCTTCAACTCTGTTGGTCACTTGGCTTGGTTGCTTGCTGAAGCTTCCCAGATGTTAGGCATCTGTACGGTTCGAATCTCCTAACGATGCAGGTCTGCAGACCTGGAACCTTCAAAGCCCAAGACAGCCACCAGACTCCTTGAGCGCAAGCTTTGCTGTCCCTCGCGACTTCAACGCCCAGGAAGGTCAAGGCTTACTTCTCCACATTGGAGATTGACGTGCAAGAACCTTCGGCGGCAGGATGTTGCAAGGTTTCAGTTCTTGGTAGACCTCCGGCAGGGACAGTGACAGAAGGGTATAGCAGAGGCAACCGTTTCACTGTTCAAGCTGTGTTGGTGCCTGCTTTAAGCACCGCGAGTCCCATACTGGAATGGCAGGGCTTTGAATTGAAGCGTAAGGAAATAGATCGTGCCTGGAGCAATGTGGCTTGAAGACAGGAAAAATAAATTTTCGTAGATAAATGAAACGTGTCTCTCGCCTTGCCTCGAACGGATTTGTGCTTCCACTAGGGAGACAAAGCACCATGGCAACAGAAGCTGCTCTGGCTCTCCAAGGAGGGTGCCGCTTTGTTCCACCTTCTGGACAACGGCCATGGAGAGGTGCCCTTGCCTGCCTCTTGACTGTGGGCCGACGGGTCTGAAGCTTTCCAACCTCTAAGACCTTGTCTATGCAATGGCTGACAAGTCTTGCTGCACGCCACGTAGAGGGCCTATTCGTAGGCGTTTCTGGCGTCAGTTCAATCTCTGTGAGGGTACCAGTCCACTCCTCCTCCTCCCTCGTCATGAGGGTGATGAGGGTCATAGTGATGATCACGATGATGTGGAACTATTACTATCGACATCGTTTAGTTTTTGGACTTGGCCCGTCCCTGTGCCTGATACCATCGGGCTTACAACATGGGCGTTTTTTCCGTTGACTCCAACGTGGTCACTCGCTGCTACTCAATAACAAGGCACGTGCAGGAGTAACTAGCACGGAAGGGCAGAATCAGTACTTAGTAGTTGGAAGGTTTGTCAAAGGCCATACGACCGCGGCGCCGAACAGAAAAGTTCGTGTTTACACAGACGGATCAAGGCACTGTCATTGAGAACTTTCATGCATGCAGGCGGTCGGTGTCCAAGTGAGAAGGACACCTATTGGGGTAGGCTATGCCGATGACATGGTTATGAACAAGATTTCTCAATCGGTCAAGCCAAAGAAGCAAACGAATCCCAGTCGAAAAGAGTGGCGGTATTGTTGCCCGACGCGTTGTCCGATGCTACCAGCTTGGAATGCTGACACGTGGAGACACAACATGCTGTAAGACGGCTGTTTTGGTGAGCCGCTGAGACTTGTAAAGTAGGGGATGTCGTGAATTGCCTGTCTCGGGGTGATGTGCCAGTCTTGTTTGGTATTTTCCAGTTTTTGTTGGTCGGTCATGGCATTTGAGTACTGCTTCTTGGTAGTTCCTGCAACTCTTGTCGTGCAGCCTGGAATTTTTCGCAGCCAGAAGGACAGTCTGGTCCCGAGGCACACGAAAGAAGCGAAAGCCTTTGCGTAGGTAGTATGCTCTTTTGCAAGCACAAGTTTCTGATCTGATTGCAAACAACGCCACAAAGACAAGGATAAAGGACCAGCCACCCGCCGAACCCGCTCTGTATAAACATCAGTGCGGAATTGCAATAAGACTTGCCATACATGCGGGCTGTTAGGTCCACTCATCGACATAAATTGGCGACCAGCACCCTGTAGAATAGATAGCAGTCCAGGTGAGATGATAGAAGCCTTCCGTACAGCTCCAGCAGACGCACAACACAGGCAACCTTTGCAAAATGTTTTGTATAACGTGCTGCGGCAAAATTCAAAATTGCTGCGTGCAGACGGCCCGCAGCATCGCCCAGCAGGCGCTAGATGAGTGATGTGTCACACAACGCCCATGCAGATCTGAATTGCAAACACATGACCAAACACGCTGTCGAAAGGGTACTCTGCAGCTCCGCTCTGATACGTTCCTCGATCTGACAACAGCACTGCACTCGCAGACTCGCAGACACGTGCCGAAGAGAGGAGGTCAACACTCGAAGCTTCGACCCGCAAATGACAGGTCACACTGGATGACTTCATCAGCGGCATCATGAGCCACTTGTCTGGCTAACGCAGCACATACCGTATGTCGGGGTGTTTCTCTTAGCTATTAGGACTCTGTGTTGGTGCGGCGTCCTTTTGCCCATGAAACTCCCGCAGAGTGGACACCTGCATACTCGACATTGACGAAAGTCGCGAGAACAGTTTTGAAGATTGGATTTGTACGGAGAATGCATTCCCGGGTTCAGGATGTAAGGGCGCCGCCCGAGCAATCGACACCTTTGCGCTTCAGAATGATGTCAAGCAGCATCTTGGACGCATGAACGCATGCATCGAGTTGCACTGCTTGATCTGGGTTGGATAAGTCACTGAAAGCTTCAAGGCGCCATCTTTATTCAATTTGAGAGGGTGGCTGGGTGGGTTGGACTAGGCCCGGCTTCGGAAAAGCTTTGCAAAGTCCCTGCGACAACAGCACACTCAGTTCTCACGAATAGCTTTCGACCCTTCAAGTTGTTGCATTTTCGTCGGATTGATACATTGCCTGGACTTGCATGACCTTGCACTGTCACAGCAGAGCGTCAATCTAGATCAAAGCTGGAGACGTTGGGTCACCCTGGAAATCTGCAGAGAGGGCAAAGGTAACGCTGCTTTTTCTTCGTGGACCCGCGGGATGCCAGGCTGCCAGGCTGCCAGGCCCGGCTTTGGCCCACTCGCACCGTCTAGTGAGTTTCACATTCGTGCGCCTTCTTCGCTACCTTGCCCTCACCACCCATCGTCGTCCTGATCGTCGTCTTCTCTGAATTTGACACATCGCCGAAGTAGGGACGCGCAGGTTTTTCTCGTACAAAAAGTAGGCTGGAATGTGTTGCTGCGGGATTTAATTATGTCTTCACGCTTTTCCATCGCTGCTTTGACAGAGGTTTTTCCCAGTTTTACAGCCTCGTGTCAAGAGTCAAGGAGCATAGTAAGGCGAGTAGAGGGCCGTCTGATGGAGAAGATTTCGGCGAACACAGCTGTGAACTAAGGTTGGATGCAAAACTGCAGAAGCTGCTGACTCAACTGATGTCGAACCAAATTGTCGTAGCTAAGCGCGAGTTGTGACACGTCCTGCGTTGGAGAAAACAGCATGTTGCACTGCACTGCTACGGAGAGGGTGCGAGTGGAGAAGCGGAGGGCAGTCCAATCAGCTGACTGAAAACTCATCACAAAGCCCAGCATTGCCCTGCAGGGTGAGCAGCTGTGGAGAGTTCGCTACCAGGCCTGGCTTTGAGCAAGGAACACAGACAGCGCAAAGATCCCCAAAGCGCACAAAGTCTTGAAGCCGAACCTCCCATTTTTACGACGCTCGGATGCCTTTGTTGTTGGAGACCAAGTGCCACATCACGGAGGCAGATGCCGGGCATCCTTCGGGGTTTGAAGTCTGGAACGCAAAGACCCCTTCCAGGCTTCCAGGGCCTGTGAACGGTGTGCTTCAACTTGGCCCTCCTGATTGGGCAGGGTTGGACTTGGTGGCATGCATCCCCACCTTCTTTCGATCTTGGAAGGTTTTGCCCGTTCAGACCCCCGCTCTTCTCCAGGTCCGGACGCCTGTGCGTCCAAACCCTCAGGAGCAGGAGTTTGATCCTCTCCGGACGTGCTGACCTCGGCTTTCGTTGACGATCTCGGTACTCCAACCCAAGTTTGCCAGATGAGAGGCTGACAAACTGGATCAATGGCGTGGACGAAGACATTCGGGACGGTGGCGCAACACCTGCCCCCGCCTTTGCATATGCAGGAATGCACAGCGCTGATGCTTACGACACAGGTTTGACTATCCTCTCTCTCCCATGGGATGCGATGTTGAACTAATTGCTAATGTTGACCTCACGTTTATAATCCCCCCTCAATCACAAAACCCCACCCCCGGAACTCAATTGTAAAACCCCCTTCAATTACGAAACTTGCAGCCGGGAACCGAAAAAAAGATTAGCTACTTCTTGTCTTGTGTTGTTTGTTTTGTGGCAGAGAGAAAGAGAGAGAGAGAGAGAGAGAGAGAGAGAGAGAGAGAGTTTCCTCACACCCCAAGCAAAGCAAAGCAAAAGAGAGAGAGAGAGAGAGAGAGTACTACGCCATTTTGGCTCAAGTGCTGCACCTTTGCTGAGGGGCCTGTACCGCCTCTTGGCATCGGGGGGGGAGCGCGAAGGTTCACCGGAGGTTGTGCCCTCCGGGGAGCCGGAGCGTTAACCCCAGCGGTGCTTGAGTCACACGCCGCAGCTCATTTTGTTTAAGAGGCCCGAGGGGTTTGCGCTTCACGGGACCGCTTGACCACGGCCCTCCTCCGGGAGGTGGCCCGTCAGTGGGGAGGACCGCCATACTACTTCCTCGCGGAACTGAAGGCAATCGTCCTGGAAGGGATGCAGTGCAGACTATGTCGTGAAGCCGGGGGGATCTGCAGGCCTGGTATAAGGAAAGTGCATGTGAGAAGTGATCCTGCGTGTCGTTTGCACGGTGTGACAAGCAGAGCCAATGTGGCAGTGGCATCCCCTAAACCAAAGGGGAAACCACGTGAGACACAACAAAGCCAAGACGGGGGAGAAGCTAGCTCCTCTTCCAGGCGAGCACCAAGCCTTGGGGGGATGGTGCAGCATGAGACAAAGGGAGGGCTTCACCTGCTTTTTCACCCAAGCCCGCTCGACGCATGGATCGGGCGCAATGTGCAACAAGACGAAGACACTGGCGAGCTCTATGAGGGGGAGAAGGCGTTGGGGGAGAATGACCAGGAGACCTACGCTTCTTATAGGGGGAGACTCCTCCAACGGCGAGCCCTCGGAGCAGCTGCAGATAAGCTGTTACCCAGGATTGCCAATGAAACACGCGCTTTCGTAATGCGCTTCCCACACCGCATTCCGAGACTCCTGAGGGACGCCCGCAGGCTGAAGAAGAAGAAGACTCAGAAGACTCAGCAACCCAAGCGGGGGAGACAAGGGCAAGCCCAAGCAAGCCGCACGCCACCAGAGGCTGCACGGGAGACTGTGGGACCCGCCGCTCCCGCACCTATGCCAGTGGAGAGGGACGAAGAGACTCCGCCCGACTGGGGAGGAACCACCGAAGACGACAGCGGGGACGACGAGGAGCCAGACGCAAGTGGTGACGTGCAGTGGCCGTGGGGACCCGAAGGCAGACCGTCAGACCGGGAGACGAACCCAAGACGTCCTTCCGAACCGGCGGGGGAGCCGCCGACCAGACAGCCACAGGACCTTCGGCCAGCTCCGGAAAGAGCACGCGGACCGGAGGGGAAGTCACATGCCAAGCGAACGCGACCTCCTCCAGTAGGGGAACCACGTGGGACAGGGGGAAGACCAGCCGTCGCCCTGATCCCGAACCTACGGCACCAGGTACAAGAAGTACAGCAGCACATGGCACGCAACAGAGGGGAGGCGACACGGAAGTGAAGAACTGAGACAGAGTGAGCGTGGCAAAAAGTTTTTCCAGTGACGGCCGCAGCGGGGGATAGTGGAGGGCCTTTCGGATTTCGGTTGTGTTGGTTCAGGGCTCTTTCTGGCTTGCTGACCTCCCCTATCCGCCGTGACCTGTACCGCCCTCACACTGCAGCTTTCAAGCAGACTTTTGGGGGATACCTCCATAATTCAAGACGGGCCGCTGGAGCCACACAAACCTATTGCCACCGGGGCCGTATGCCCCATCATGCACCATATGCACACAATTGGCATCGAGACTGAGACCTGCCGACCTTTTCGCTCAACCCTTTAACAGGAAACCTAGATGGAAGCTTTTCGCAGCCGACCCCACGATCCTCTTTGCTTGCTCGTTTTATAGTACCTTCCCTGTTGTTCGGATGCTATCGTCCTGGCCTTAGCTGTTGTTGGTACTGCAAACAAAGGGGGACCGGCCACATACCGTTGTGCTTTGTTTGGGGGAGGCGTCTGGCGAAGGTACCAAGGATTCTGCCATAGAGGGCGCGGGGACGAGGCCGGGATGCGGGCTAAAGTTCAGGGTCGGGGGATGTTCGCCAGACGTACTCTACCACACAAGCCAACCAACGGGAACAACCCCTAGCGCTTCGACCCCAAAGCCACTCTCCCACCTTCGTTTAAGGGAGAGGGGGGCCTAGGCCCGGGTCTTCCTGCAAGACCCTACCCTCGAGAAGCGAAGAAGCGAAGCGAAGCGAAGTACTACGCCATTGAAGAAGGGGGGCTAGCCCTGATTCGAGAAGCGACGGAGACCCTTTTGGCCACAATCGACCGCACAGCAGCCTACTTGGACCAGCTCATCGCGAACACGTCACCACATCGCCATGACCGTGAACCCCCTGCTCTACCTCGGGCCGCAGCTCTACACGCACGCAGCGATCCTGTACAAGGTCAACGAGAAGAGTGCACGACCCAGGGAGGCTCAACTCCCTACCAAATACTCAAAGCCCAACACAAGATCGAGAAGATGATGCCCTTCCTCAAGCAGGAGACAGCAGCAGCCTTGGCTGATGCACATGCTTTATTTTACGCGTGCACCTCTTCGTTATGAGGCTCTCCCATATGGTTGGTGGAGCCAGAAGGGGAAGAAGGAGAAGAACGAGCCCGAGACATGGAGGCCGGGGGACTACCTCGCCAGGACGGCCACAACAATTCGCCATCGGATGCCCCCACACAGATCTTCGGATCGCGTCGTCCCCGGCCTTGACCAGCCGGTGGGGAGCCGAGATTGGCAAGGGCGTCTTCACACAGGCGAAGGCGCTTGCATGCCTACTTCTATGGCACGCCAGACACAGATGAGGGCGAACCTGGTGATGAGTGATTGCTCGCCGGGACGCTGCAGCCAAGCACGCCTGAAACCGGTGATGGCGAACCTGACAAAGACTGACCACTGGGGTGCTGCACTGAGCCGCCAAAAGAGGGGTCTCCCCTTCGCAATAGTGTAAGCCCTTCGGGGTACCAGGAACATATTCCGGCGTACTCGTTCCTGCACATGTCTTCTTTTGTTGCAGTGCTTCTGAGTGTTGCTGCCTTTGTCCAGAAGCCGGAGTAGTTCACACACTTTAAGCTGAAAGCCCGGGGCCACAGTGCGCACTTGGACCTCCAGCTTGCTAGAACCCCTCCCGAGCCCCTTGAACAGCAAGCGGCATACTGAGTCCTGCATCGTACGTTTTTGTTCTGAGTACTGTTCTACTTTTGCTGCCTCTGTTCAAGCCGCACCTTTGCTGCCCAATGCACCCGCCCCCCGCTAGGGCCCTAATTCCTATGGAGGCGTGCTTGGCAAATCGTACTCGTTACCTGCACACATGGTATACTGGTGCCCTCATTGGTTCCTGTTGCTGCCCCTGTCCATGCCAGCAAACAATTTTCATGCTACCTTTTCTTGCGACTATTCAATCTACTTGCTCCCATGCTTTCATCTACTTTGTTTCATGTACTGGCCTCCCAGGGCCCTAAGGTTTCACTTTCCAAGGACTCGGGGGCCCCCTCCATCCACCTCGCTTTGCTGATCATCTTCACTTCTTACCTTTGAGGGTCGTTGTAGGGGAGCCGCCAGTTGCCTCTTCGATTGCGCATTTCTTTCGAAGACAAACTCCACTGCAAATACGGGCGTGCTAGCTAGTTTCCCCGCTCCCCCTTTAATAATTGCTGCCCCCGCCACTTGTCTGCCAGCCATGCAGCCTAGCACGCCAAAGCAGTGTAAACCATTCCGAGTCAACACTGCCAAGACAAAGAACGAGGGGAACACCCCCTTGCACAGGTGACGATCCTGAATACACCGACGAGGATAATGCCTGCACTTCCATCTTATGGCATCTTGTGGCATGCAGTTGCATTTCATCGGGTGTATTCCAGTCGCCTAGGGAAGCTTCGAAACTCGAACTCCCAGAGTCGTTGGCAGAGTGTAACATGTGCGTCCCGCACCAGTCGGGGGCGCTGACGCGCGCGGTGTAGGGGGTAACCCCTACACCACAGCCCTGGCGAAAGAAAGAGAGTACTACGACGACCGACCCCCCCTCAATAGTCAATCACCCCCACCCGGGGGCCAGCAAACAATCAAGCGAGGAGGGGGGGGTTATTAATAGGAAGTCAACATTACTGCTGCTGCTTCAGAAGGCCTGATGACAGACGACCCCAAGCACTTGTCGGAACTCACGGTTGGGCTGGGCTTGCAGAAACCCATTGCGCATTCAAGACAACATAAACCCTAGGACATCCACAGGTGGGCCAAGTGTTCAAGAGATCCCCATGTGCTTGGCTCAGGTGTCGATGGGATGTGTCAACTGAGCTCCAATCATGCGGGCACGTGCCATGCGGCGTTGAGGACTTCGGCCACAACTGTTGTACTCTTCTGGCACATCCTGTGTCTTTTCCTTCCCTTCACTGTATGGCTACAAAGTACCGCCGCAGACGTTCTGCAAGTCTGTTACGTGCCGGTGGTCGGCATGGTGCAAAGTGCTTGCTAGCTGGTTTTCTGCACATCCACTTCAGGCTCGCGAGCGCGAGCCGCGCATGTTCGTGAATGGAGCACATGGCCCACGGGTCTGTCGATGTTTTCGTTTCACCAGTGCAGACGACCGCCCATACAGATTCAATGCAAAAGCTTGTTTTCCTAGGCACCGACCTCAAGAGAGAATCACACAGAGAACGTCCTTAACGCTAGAAGTAGTCTGGCTTGTATGCCTAGCTGTAAGCTGCTGGAATTGTCTCTCGAGATCTCTCGAGCAAGCACTCCCGATGTACCCGGGACCCTGAGACACTGAAAACGAATTCCCGCCGATCAAAATAATACCTTGCTGACTTGAGTTGGTGTCCTCGAGAACAGCTTCTTCAGCTTCGGAGTTGTTTAAAAGCTTTCGTGAGTTCAACCCCAAGATT